TAATGTGAATGTAAAATGATAAAACCATTTTGGAAAACAATATAGAAATTTCTTGTATTACTGTTAAGAACCAACAGTCCTGTTCTTAAGTTTTTACTTGAGAGGAATGAAAACACATGTTCACAATAGATTTGTACAGACAAGTTGATGATCCCTTATCTGAAATTCTTGGGACCAGAGTGTTTCAGATTTTCATTTGAAATCCACTAGATCTGGAAAGAGGATGGCTACTCTTGCTTTTTTTTTCAGGTTCCTGTCACATGAAATATTGTTTTCCACACTTTAACTTTCAGTCTATGAGTTTCTTTTTGAATTAAATGTGTTTCTTGTATGCAGCATATCGCTGGATCTTGCTTCTTGACCCATTCTGCCAGTCCATTTCTTTTGATTGGTGAGTTGAGATCATTAACATTGATGGTTAAAAATCATACATATTGATTTATTATTGTCATGACTTTTTAAGTTTGTTGGATTCTCACCCTTTGCATTTAATTTCTTTTCACGCCCAACAGATTCATTCTGCTGGGCTTCCTGGGGTTGTGATCCTCAATGTCTGTTCCTAGGATATTGTCTAAAATTTTTTGGAGTGCTGGTTTGATATTCATTAAGTTCCTAAGGTACTCTTTCTCACGAAAGTATCTTATTTCTCCATCAATTTTGAAAAATAATTTTTCAGGGTACATCAGTCTGGGTTGGAGGCTGTTTTCCTTTAGGACTTGAAATACATCACTCCAAGCTCTTCTTGCTTTGAGGGTTTGCGTTGAGAAGTCTGCTGTGATTCTGATGGCCTTTCCTTTGTATGTGATTTGTTTCTTTTCTCTACCTGCTTGTAGAACTTTGTTCGGTTTGATATTCATTAAGTTCCTAAGGTACTCTTTCTCACGAAAGTATCTTATTTCTCCATCAATTTTGAAAAATAATTTTGCAGGGTACATCAGTCTGGGTTGGAGGCTGTTTTCCTTTAGGACTTGAAATACATCACTCCAAGCTCTTGCTTTGAGGGTTTGCGTTGAGAAGTCTGCTGTGATTCTGATGGCCTTTCCTTTGTATGTGATTTGTTTCTTTTCTCTGCTTGTAGTAGAACTTTGTTCTTCTGTTGAGTTTCTGGAATCTTCACAATTATATGCCTATGTGTAGATTTTTTTTGATCAAGGCTAGCTAGAGTCCTATATGCCTCACTTCTCTATCTGTATGT